AGTGAGAATGTATTGAAAAATCATGTATTGTCCCACTACCTGTTGAAACCATTGTGGGGGAAAGAGAAGGAGAGTGAGCTAGAAAGAGAGAGAGAGAGAGATCAGGTGGTAAAAAAGTGATTGTAAGTTTTAGTGACCTCACTTAACTTAAGTAAGTTCAGCAACTTAACCTACATAACCTATCTAACTTAAATAAAAACATTCAGTGTTGACTTCTGGCTCCACACTACTCTGTTTTTGTTTATAAACGGAGTTTTAAAACAAATATGATCTTCATTCACAGCAGCATTTTAGCTGCGTATCATAGTTAATCTTCGTCTACATTAAAACGACATCTAGTGGCCGTTCATGTACACTGGGCATGCGTGTGCCCGTGTAAACATGAAACAGATGGTCTACTCTATAGTTACAGAAGATTTGGCGAAAGAATAAAGAAATAGAGATGAAGAATCACACCAGATTTTATTTTGCATGGAACGATAACGAGCTGGGACTGTTACTGAATGTAACAAGGGAGTTAAAAGTGGCTGTGGCGAAGGGAAAACAGACTGGGAGTTGCCACAAAGTAAATACGGTGACATGCACAGCACGTGAGCAAGTGTTATTTGCACGGTACAAAATATTTTTCTAAAAATTCCTAAACTAAAACTCTGTCAGTAGTATCGTGTTTCTACTTTGCATGACTTATGAGACCCAGTCAGAGAGCTAAACATGAGCGTCTGCGTCATTGTTTCTAAAGTCTTCTGTTTTTGGCCGTCCGCACTAAAATGCTACCCGGAGTTTAAAACGAAAAACGGGGTCGGCAGCGTTTTCCTCCGTTCTTCTCCATTCTAGGTTTTTTGTTTTCGCCGTTTTAGTCTTGACGTTGAGGGGCAAACGAAGCAAAAAGGTATCCGTTTTAAAATGAAAACACAGTCGTGTGGATGGGGGCCAAAGTCTGGTTTCTGGTCCATCATCACCTCCAACCAACTCCTCACTCTGTTAAATATCCTAAAAGTGAGAATGGGTTGATCCACCACTCAGTCTGTCTCAGTTATTCGACCGCTCTGCTCATAGCGCTCAAGTGTGGAGATAGGTCTGGCAGTGCGAGACTACTCTGCTCAGGACTACTCTAAATCTTTTGGATTTTATTGAATATGTAGGAAGGTCCCATTAGCTAGCTGACTCTGAGCAGACTCGGAACCAGGGCCTAAAAACCTCCCAGTGGTCCAAAGCTCCTGTGCTAGCGGTGTAAACATAAACACTTCCCCGGTCCTCGAGCTTCCAGTCCTGGCAGAGTCAGCTAAGATAATAGAGCCCCTAGCATTACGGCTAATTGAACTAACCTTTTTCTAACCTAATTGTTGTCTCACTTTTGGTCTGAAACAGTAAATTCATAAAATTTAGTGCCCCATATTTAGCACACTGGCAAGATAAATATCAATATCAACTTTATTTATAGAGCACACTTAAAACAATTAATAATTAACCTTGCTACAGTAGTGTGTTTCATTGTTATTGGAGATAACACATAGGGTGGTTGTATCGTCTGCATACATGTAGATGTTAACATAGCTGTGGTGGGATGTGAGTTGGTTAAGCCTTATTCACACTACACAATTATAATCCCGATTTGCCGGTGAGCTCGGTGACCGTCAGACTGCGATCAGGGGTAAATCATCAATTGATGCGGTCACCAGTCGTTATGTGTGAACTACTCAAGATGCATCAAAACTGCTCCCAGACGCATCGCTGACACATCGCAGACGCCAGACAGATATCTGGCATGCTAAATATCTGGAGGAGTTGGGTGACTCAACATCCACATCCAGCCAATGAGAGCAGGCAGCTACTTTTTCACTACAAAACACTTTTTACTCACCTTCAGCACTCTCTGTAGCACAGACGATCCCTGCTATCTGCGTATGCTAATTCATTCTTTCACACAGATTCTTTGTCTTTATAATTGGTATCTTCAGAATAACAAACAGCTGGTTCATGTGTAGGTTTGCGTCATTTCCTGTTTCAAATTCCAAATAACCTTTTTCTAACCTAATTGTTGTCTCACTTTTGGTCTGAAACAGTAAATTCATCAAATTTAGTGCCCCATATTTAGCACACTGAGAAGATTAGGCAGTGCGGGCCATGACGGATGACAGAACAACTCCCCTAAAGTGAACCCCACCCCTCCATTTTGGCAGATGGGACATTGGATGGGCCAAACAAACAAAAAATATCTTTTTGTCATTTTGGGTAAACTATCATGCTTTTGTGTGTAGAAGTGTTCATTTTCCTGATTAGTTTTGATTAGTTATTTGATGCTATAAAAAGGCTGAGCCCTGTTTGTGTATGGCCCGGACATCGATATCGCAGCTTGCCCAATCACTGCTGCACAGTCTCTGGCTCCAAATCCCAGAAAACATATAGAACTGGAAACGAGTTTAATAGAGTAGGTCCCCTTTAAAGCACTTTCAGGTAGATAACTCCAGCCCGTAGAGGGAGCCAGTGAGTCAGTTACTCTTGGTTTCATTGTTTTGTCACTTGTATAATGCACAGCATGTTCATTTGGGTTGTGTTGAGTTGCGTCCCCTCTTTTGTTCCCATGCACCCTCCCATCAGCTGACCGGTCGATGACCTGCGCAGCCGGTGGCACCGGAATGAACTCTGGCTCAAAACGATGCAGTTCACAGTGACTAAGCGTCCATCAGATAACGACCTTGGCAGAGCTACGGGGCCCTACAGCGGACATAATTAGGCCAGGCTGTTTGTGTCCCATTAATTTTCTGCCACATAGCTTCACCCCATTCTCTGCCTGTCAATGAACGCAGTCAGGTGGAGGGTGGAAATGCCTGGTGACCTAAGCGATGGCCTCAGTGGTGACCTGAGGGGTGACCTCACTATCAGTTTTGTGTGTAATGAGTTCAAGATATGAAGTGGAATTGTTATCGGTTTGCTATAAATACCTTGGATAGTTCCAGTACTACTGTTACTACAAAAGCAGTACTGGAAGACTCCACAGTATTAGACTTCGTAGAAGCTTCTAGGTCAGTTTTGGCATTGTGTCTGGTTCCCGAAGCATTTTGAATTTGCCATAGCTCTAATTCACACCTGGCTTCTTCTCTTTAGTAACCGCTGAGGCTCATGGGTATTTTAATATTTAGCGCCAGTCGCCATATCAAACTGACAGAAAAAAGATTTCTCAGTACCAAAATTTTAAAATGATGTTTACAACGTAAACTTAGGACCATGGTTACAATCATGGGGAAAATTGAGGATATTGATAAAAGAATCATTTACAGTTACACTAAAAGAGACTTATGTGAATAATGATTGTTGGAAAATGTTTTTTAAATATCATCAGACCTTTTATGGAAAAGGGAATGACTGAATTATTTTATTAACGTAGTTCATTTTAGTCAGTGATTGAAGCATTGTCCACGACTTTGTATGCTACATTGGGAAAACAAAGACGGGTGTAACGGCACAGTTACAGCAACATAATCGAATCACATCAGTTATCAGAATAGAAAGCCCAACATTTTATATATAGGTTGACCAGGGGACAGTAGATGGCTCACGAGCCAAGGAGTTATTGATCAAGATAATATTAGGGGGGGAAATGTTTTTGAAACAGTATGTTCTGGACGGGAATGACTCAAGGAATCTTCCGGACGGTAATGGCTAATTGGAAGTGACCTGAGTGGGATCTAAAATGATAAGGGATTTTGTGGATGGAAGTGGGATGCCAGTGATTTGGACGACTTGCTGAAAGTCTGCTGGAGTCTTTTGTGAGTTTGGCTGTCTAAACTTCTTGAGCTGATGTAGACAGAAAAGTGCTTACCGGTCTATTTTTATAATGATGCGTTGAGATCCCATGAGTGGATTGCAGATGTGGTTACTTCATTTGAAAGAGGCAGTCTTTAAATGGGGTTGCCATTGATGAGTTTGAGGGTTCTGCAGTGTGGTTTTCTGTAATCGACAATAAGTGTTTGAGATAAATATCAATATCAACTTTATTTATAGAGCACACTTAAAACAATCAAGGTTGACCAGGTGCTTTACAAGGTTGGGTTGAGCTATCTAATTAATTAACCTAGCTTCAGTAGTGTGTTTCATTGTTATTGGAGATAACACATAGGGTGGTTGTATCGTCTGCATACATGTAGATGTTAACATAGCTGTGGTGGGATGTGAGTTGGTTAAGCCTTATTCACACTACACAATTATAATCCCGATTTGCCGGTGAGCTCGGTGACCGTCAGACTGTGATCAGGGGTAAATCATCGATTGATGCGGTCACCAGTCGTTATGTGTGAACTACTCAAGACGCATCAAAACTGCTCCCAGACGCATCGCTGACACATCGCAGACGCCAGCCAGATATCTGGCATGCTTTCCTCAAACCTCCCATGAAGGTGTTGAGGTTGTCGGGGACTTTTTCTGACACTGTCTAGGATGAGTGTAAGTTTTTGATCAGTCCAAACTAAAAAAGTTGATGTTTGTGTATAACTTAGTCTGTTCAAAAAGGTTGACACACTAAATTAATCCAACAATATTATGACAAATGCCATGTCAGGAGTTTATGCTCCTACATATTCTTGTCCAGGGTATGAGCAGGAAATGACAAACCAATAGTTATCATCTCAGTGCGTCATTACTGACACTTTCATAGAGCGTGACAAAGCGTAATTATTTGACGCTAAAAGTACCTTTCAGTGTAGCACAGCTACAGGGTTAGCCTGCATAGAGTCAGTGACTTAGGTTTAGGCACTAACATTTGTGATGGTTATGGTAAGGTTTGGTGGCTTCGGGGGGCTGTGAACACCTTTTAGCACGAACTAGCGCTAGCGAGACGCCCCAGAGTGTCTCATATAGACGCATCTGGGAGCATATCACAGGCGCTGAAGGGTACCTTTAGCGTCAAATAACTACGCTTTGTCACTTTTTCTGAAAGTGTTGGTACTGGACGCCCTGAGATGACATTGGTCTGGACAAACCCATAAAACGACAACTGTTTTTCTTCATCTTCTAATTTACTTTTTACATCAACTGTACAGCAGCTACATCTGATACACACAATGAATGCATAAACAGGACAAATATATACAGACTCCTTAAAGTGGAGAAAGTGCTATCTCCTTCCACAAATCCATCCGTACATAAGATTTCACAGCGCGTCTACTAGGCTTCGAGACCAACACAGAAACAGTCCTTAAAGTAGACCAATGATAACAACAACAATAATAATAATATAATAATAATAACATTACTCTCAATATATGCTGCTCTAAACAACAAAATATTTCTATGTTCTAGCAGTGAAACAAGGTTTTATGGAGTGGCCTTAACATTACAGGTTAGTGTCTATTCATAACAGCAAATATTGTTACAGAGAGAGTAAAGTTTCAACAGAAGTGATACATCTGCATTTTAAATACAGCTTATTCATAATGCTACTTCATTTGATACACACAACATAATATGGATATATATATATATATATTACATTCATATTTTTTTTAAAAACAGAACAGTTTGAATGTATTTTGACATTGAAGTTCATGAAGTTTTTGGTTGTTGGGATTTCTGTGTCAAAATCAAGTGCAAGTTCATCAGTAAAAGTGTTTTTTGCGGTGGAGATCATTGCAAAACATTAAAACTGAGATAACTAGATGTGAGATCAGTGTCTGCTGTGTCTAACATGGGTCTTTAAATATTTTCCAAAATTGTTTCTATAGCAGATCTTTTCACTGCATTTCTGGCCTTAATCAAGTTCTAATGAGAATTGTCACATTATTTTCAGATTGATTAAAGAACATTTATCTTTCTGTTTTTCCACATGCAACATTTCCATGGAGCTGGCAGGCCTCCAGTGGCTTGCTCACAGGGAGTTCAGAAAGGCAAACGCTGGTTATAAGAGGCAAATGGAGACAATTGAAGGATTGAAAGACAAAAAAACAAAGAATTGTTTTTTTGTGAGTTTTCTGAAAGGCTGTCTGTGAATCTTAAACGTTTTGTAAATGTAAGAAGTGAAATACTTGCTCATTCAGCACAGTGAAGATACATAGATGTCTTTACTGATACACACTGATGTAAAAGAGGTACAAAGCACCAAAACTGAGTGGATTTTATCAACTATAAACCACTGCAGAAGTGTGTATCACAACAAAATGGTCCAAAGCATTGCTGGCAGTTTTGCATTGCATGTTTGTCCCTGGACCTGGAGCTAAGATGGCTTCATGGAAAGGCCTTACGTGTGTTCACTAGGCACTTATTGTATGCGGGTCCAGTCGGGCTTCTCCAGCTGGACAAGATAAGTATTGTAGAGCCCACTCTCATTGTTGCACCATACTCTATGTTGACATTTCAATAAGTTAATGTGCATTTACGGACTACAAGAGGCATCAATATATTAAATTGCTGAAGGTGAGTGGATTTTACTGTACCTAAACCACTCTGAAGTGTACATGCAGTCCATTCAAAGGGCATTTCAAACCCAGAGCAAACCTAGATCTTGTTTGAAAATAAGCAAAAGCTTCATAGTTTTCTCACTGATGTGCACTGCCCCTTCCATACATTAATAACTTACAAATGCATGTTAACGAAAACGATAAAAACGCTGCAGGTGAGCATACCGGGTGGTTAAAATTGCAATTGTGCTGCAACACAAAGCGGTTTCTTAGATTTTGACTGAACCACTGAAGAGATGAAGTGCTCCAAACCAGCAATGTAAACCCCTTCTTCATGTCCTTGGAAACAAAGAGGGTGTCTGAACTGCACCATCAGGCCTGGTGAGGTGGTTGTCTCCCCTCTTGGGCTTGCAGAGTTTTTCCAGAAGCAGACTGAAGGTTAAATTGTCTCTTAGGTGAGTTTTTTTGTCTGTATTTGTCTCTAAAGTGGGTAGTTGTATGTGAAATGCACATGCAGTCCATTTACCGGGTGCACTATTGGCACTGTCTGCATCTTGGGAAAGTTCTCTGTGGCCAGAGTCCATTTGCAAGTCTCGATCAGCTCCACAGCCAGAGTCTTTAGGATGATCTGTGCCAGTTCTTTCCCCACACAGCTCCGCACACCACCGCCGAACGGCACGTAGCTGAACCGAGCAGACCGACTCTCCTCCCGGTCTGGGCCAAAGCGGTCTGGGTCAAACAGCTCCGGGCTCTGGAAGACAGCAGCGGTCTCATGGGTGTCCCGGATGCTGTACATTACACTCCAGCCTTTGGGGATCTGGTAGCCCTGCGAAATGATGACAGAAATCAGTAAATATAAATAAAGATAAATAGGATTATTTTTACCAGCAAATAGTTTGTTGCATTTTAAAATTTAAAGTCTGCACAGTCCCCAAGGTTCTAAGACTCTTATCTTATATAAGACTCTATAAATAATCTGACAGGTCTGTAGCACAGAAAATAATGAAATTACAAACGTGTGGATTTCAGGATTTAGAGATTTAGGGACCATGAAAAATAGCAGCAGTATATTTCCTTTTACAGGCAAAGTTGAGTGGAAAATATGCTTACTCAAATGAGTTACATGTTGTTGAACTTTTATTTTTGATGTTTCTAAGAAGAAAACGTTTTCTCTCATTTTTCGTTTTCAACATCTATTCATTCATCCATTCACTCTATTAAACCAGACTTCTTTATAGCATAATGCCAATTATCTGTGCAGAGGTAGGATTCCCTTGTTTAGTCTTTAGGACGATGCACTTGAACGAACAGGCATAATGACATATTCAAGACCGCGATTCTCAGCTATTGGGGTTTATACCCTGGGAAAGAAATAAATGGCGCCACATGCACTACAATAGTATTCTCAGTCGTTTTAAACTTCAGTTGTCCTTTTGCAATAAACACAGCAAATTGGGGGCACACTGAGGCCAGGGCAGGGGCATTTCAGGATGAGGGATGAGGCCATGTCAAGGCAATTGCTCAGCAAAGGCCATGCAATTCTGTAGCAAAGGTTTTTGGCCATCCAGGCGTGCTACATGGCCAGTGAACAAAAGCGGAATTAAATTAAAGTGAGAATTAGTTTTCATCCAGCATGAAGAGATAATTGAAGATATCACCAATCTGTGAACAAGACTCATTTTTGCTCAGAATAAAGCTGCTTTAAACTCACTCACAAATTCCTTGAGTCAATCAGACTGCTGATAGTCCATAAGGAGGACCTGTTGAGCTATTGTCAGACCAATTGTACTCGCTAAGCAAAAAGGAAAGTAATAATAGCAGCACAGAGCCCCCCAGGAACCTGTACTGTGAAGCGATTTTGGAGAAGTGGAAGTACTGGGTATTGCAACTTCTGCGTCCAATGCGTGGTGACAGTGGCCAAAAAACAAATCACAATGATTGGAAAATGTAGCAACTATAAAATGGTAAATACGACCATCTAGAATTATTTTATCCCATTGATATGTGCAGGGAGCCAACAGGAATTTAGCCAGCTCTGCCACTGAAAGCTTCAGAAGTGCATGCTCTACACTGGAGAGGGACTCTACTGAGCATGCATTACATCCTCTGCCCAGGAAAAAAACCCAAACCAAAGGCCTATCTGTAAGGTATATTACTGCCAGGTACTTGAACTTACGTCTAATTCAAATGTCTGCAGGGCTGTCCGGTAACCACCGGAGACTGGTGGTAGGAAGCGGAGGACCTCTTTGATGACACAGTCGACGTACCGGAGCTGGCTCAGCTTGTCCAGGCTCAGATACGGTATATGAGACTGGGACTGAGGAAAACCGTCACTGTGATTCTGGTGATTCTGACAGCCTCCGTTCAGCAGGCAGGTTGTCTCTGTGTTTGCGGCATCCTCCTCTTTCTCCATGGTGACCCCAATTGGGACGTGACTTCTGTGGGATTCGTAGCCAAGTCCCTCGGCATCCAGCTCAATTCTGGCCCTCTCCGTCACCGCTGGATGGCAAAGAAGCTGGAGAATCAGTGACGTGGAGGCGCTGGCTGTGGTGGAGTGAGCGGCGAAGATCAACTCTACTGCTGTTTCCTGCAAGGAGGGAGGTGGATAGATCTGAATGTACTGGTTTAAATGAGCTTGGCAAAAGAAGATCCTGGATGCCAAACCATATTGGGTTATGAAGCAAGATGTGCTTTCTACCAACCATGTGGTGATACATTTTTAGGCATTCTGTTTCTACTCTGATTTACCTTTTTGTTACTTTAACTCATAGTATCAGCATGTTCACTGAGTCATAGTCATTATGTCTAAAACTGAACCCTGAAAGAATCCTCTTTTTCTCTGAGCATAGACCTTTAAAAGCATCTCTCGCTTGTGCACATGGGACCAGGCTGCACAGTATCAGCCTGATAATCACCTGATCTGAGCATTGGGCACTCTATGACTAGTTTGACAACATCTTCAGTGAGCTCTGTGACACTTTGCATGGTAGTACAACACATTCTCATCTCAATGTGTCATAATTGACGCTTTCAGACAGCATGACAAAGGATATTACTAAAGGTACCCTTCAGTATTGTATGCCTGTATCTAAATGTTGTGTAGTCAGAATCTGAGGCTGCCACAGACTTTCCTGAATCTCCCACATTAAGTCTGAGTCATGTTTTAATCTGGTACCTTGAGCTCCTGGACGCTGAGCTGATGGCCGTGCTCCTTGGAACTGGAAAGCATGTAATCAAAGGCGTCATGATATTCCTCATCCGCCTGCTGCCGCTCCATCTTTTCCTCAATGATTTTCTCCATGCTGGTGTGCAGGATTTCTCTGGCTTTAATGCCCTGCACAGAAAACACCCCAAGAAATGTCATTATTGGTTCATTATTTAGTAGTAACCGTTCATTTGATATATAAAGTTGTAGATTACATTTAGCATATTATTGTGAGTATTTATTCTAATCACTACAATGTATTTAATTCACTACTTGAGTGCTTATCATCTTCTTGTCATATATATTCAACTAAATAATAGTTTTCTATCAGCAGCAAAAGAAAGGTCACAAGCAATGTTTTTCCTCCATCCATGACTTTTGTTTTTGTATTGCAAAAAAGACGCAAATCAAATGATTAGTTATTAGTAATCGGTCACTGGTTACTTCGTGCTCGCTCACCTTGCGTAGCCCACTAAGCGGAGCATCTATGGGCAGCGAGAAGAGGTTGTTCATCAGCTGCTCAAAGATTTGGGCCAGGTAAACTATCCGCTCCTCCTCCATCTGCAGACCCAGCAGGACCCTGACGGCGATACGGAACGTCAGGGATCTGGCAGCACTGTAAACTTCTACGGTACCCGGCTCTGAGCACCACTTTGCGATTTCAGACTTGATGACGTCCTGCAGCCGGGGCAGGTAGGACTCCAGAGCCCCCCGGCTAAACACTTTAGCCAGGATCTTGAAAGGGTTAAGGAAACAAAGAGAGAGGTGTCATAAAAAGTTATAACCTTGTACACGACAGTCAACACCTTTCTGTAAATACTCGCTGAAGAGGAGGACAGGGTGGGGGTGAGCTCGGACAGGATAGAGGTAAAGGAAAAATGTAGCAGATAGGAGATGAGACACGACAGGGTGTATTGGATACGACATGAATTTAGCGTAGGACAGAATGTAAGCACTGATTAGGTTTGGATAAGATGGGAGTTATGACAGATTGAGGAAGAGAAGAGAGGACACTGGATAGGAGAAAGGGTTGGATAGAATAAATAAGGGAGTCGGTCTCTCTACTTTATTTAAGCATTTGAAAGTTTTCTTTTAATGATTACTTTGGTTTATATAATGGCCATTAGATATAAATATTCCAACTTTGTTTCTAAAGGCCCTTTTCCTCTGCACGGTACCAGCTCGACTCGACTCGCCTTGTTTTGGTTTTCCATTGTGGAAATGTTGTACCTGTACCTGCTTCCAGGTACTTTTTTTTGTATAACCTCCGTCGACGTCCCAAGCGAGCTGAGGCGAAACTAAAATGTGACGTGAAAACACAGCAGACTACTGATTGGTCAGAGAGAATCGTCACTATTCACTGCGTCATCATTGCGCACGCCTGACAGAAGCCGGCAACAGAAAGCTTTATATTTTACAATTTTCATACATTATTTCATCCCTAAATCCACTTCTGAGAAGTTTTGAGGTGAGAAATCAGCTGTGTAGATTTCGAATATTGACAGTTTTACGAGAAGTGATGGCGGAACAAAAATGTGCTGGAAAGTTTTCGGAGTTGAGGAGCTCCGCAAGTGGCTGCGGGGGAAGCCTGCGGGAACCCGCGGGAGGAGCGTGTGAGGCCGGCCAGCCGCCCGCTCACAGAGCCCTCTGCTCCCGCCGTCACACAGAGAGTTGAGCTGGCACTGGTATTGGAACGGCATTAGAGGTCAGATTTGTGTGCTGAAGGACTTCATCTTACAATATTAGTCCTTTGTTGCTATGGCCAAAAAAACAGAGGTGGAACTGTGAACAGAAAACACCCCATAGTTGCTCTAAATTCAGCGTGGTAATGGCAGAATTTGAAAGTCTGTGATTGGGTCTGTGATTACTGGAATGCACCTTAGGTGTCATTGACTTGTTTCTCAAGTTTTTATGTCAACAGTCTTGAACTTCTGACTTCAAGCTTTAAAGTGCTCCAACTGTCAGTCACCTAACACTGTCTATGCAAGTAAGGAATTGGATATTTACTAAAACATAAGTCCTCCCTGACTCAGGATCAGAAACAGCAGAGAGAAACATATTGACCTGCACAGACAGTTTGAAAGTCTAATTGAACCCTGCCAGCATTAACGCTTTGCCTCTAATTCCTCCCCCCCCCCCTTCTTACTTTTCTCTTCTTCTTGTGCAAGTCTCCGATGGAGTTGACCAGGGTGTTGGGTCCCAGGATGATGCGGGTGCTCTGGGGCCACTGGGTGCACACCAGGCTGTGCTCGCCCAGCAGGATCTTGCGGATGTTTTCTGCGCCCGTCACCCGGATGACAGGCTTCCCCAGGAGGTGGGTCTTAAACACGTTGCCATGACGCTCTCTGCGCGAGATGTGGAAGTTGGAGCCCTGCAACGTGAAGAAGAAATTTGATATTTTAAACAGCCGAATGACTTGAAGTTATCAAGCTACAAAATGCATACTTTATTGGATCATTATATTTTAGGTACAGTCGAAAGCATTTCCAGATTTCGCTTCCTTACATGCTCCAGTACCTTAAGTTGGTCCAGTTTGTTTGTTTGCTGGTTAGAGTTTTTAGTGACAGTTTGTTGAAAAGTTACTCCAGGGATGTGTTGTTTGTTGTGTGCAAATCCAGTTTACAATGTGGGGGTGGGGGGAAGAGGGGTAAATGATATTTCTATTTTAACATTAACTATGTACTTAAATAACAAAACATAGTATCTTATTATTGCCTCACTTGATTTATGTTCATTGTGTATGTATAGATGTTTTGGGTGTCCACATACTTTTGGCCAAAGCGTAATAACAGGCATTTTATCTTCATCTCTCTGCTTAGCGATCAAAAATGTATTAAGAATATACTGCCAGTTGTAATGGGACATTTGGGGGGGAAGAATTAAAAAGAAGGAGAGCAACACAAAGAAAACCAGCAACACGCACGCATCACGTGTGCTGTTGGAGGAGCTCTGTCGGAGCCGAAGGATAGTAAGGACAGAGAGATGAGGGGATGAGAGTGCATTCTTCACTGCTGAAGAGACCGACAGACAGAGAGGGGGGAGAGAGAGGTGGAAGAATTGAACAGAAAAACGTCTGTTTTTGCTCCGGAAGAAGGAATTACGCACCGAGCATCAAGTCCGCACATGTCGCATTAACAACAGAACTCAGCCTGCACAAGAATCTGCGGAGCTTTTCAAAGCTTCCCGCGCGCTTCCAGATGCATCACCAAGATTCTGGTTATTAACACATTGTGCAGCCCTCCGGTGTTTACCTCCTTTAAATTGTAAAAGTGAAGCAGCATGGGATATAAACCCATGAGTGATTAATAAAAATAAAGAACTGCACACAGAGAGACGCGCAGAAGGCTAATATATTTTGGAACGCTTGTAAAAAATCGAAAACTACAGCAGCCCAAACGTATCAAGTCTCCCTTCTCACCTGGAAAAGCCAGTGGAAAGTCTCTCCGACCAGCGGCCAGCCCATGGAGCCCTTCGGCAGCGGCAGGCTGCTCTCTTTGTCCCGGGTCAGGCTCCAGCGGAGGCTCCACAGCTGCTGGGGTCAGCGCCAGCAGCAATAGCGCGGACAGGACAGAGGTGAGCGCGGTGGCCAGGGCCGACAGCACCCCAAACTGGGCCAGGGGTAACATCTCCTCCAACCTGGTTCGCTTCCCAGCATCCACCTGTGCCTGTGCGTAAAGGCGCCCGATCAACACTCTGTGGGGCGGCCGTGCGCAAATCTTCTCCGTTTAGTTTCTCCTCGTTCTTCTTCTCGAACGTAAACTCTGTCCAAATAAAAATAAAGGTCTGTTAGCTCAGTCTGGGTGGTTTTACCATCAGCTCCACAAGAAAAGGCAGAGAAAGGGGGAAACGGTGAACTCTTTCTGAACTCATCTCTGGGGGCAGCCAATGGCTGAGAGCCGTTATAAGCTGTTATTACAGCAAGTTAGTGGATAATAATAATAGTAATCATGCAGACTGGAGCCGGGCCTCCAGATTCATTCCGAGATAATACACTGGGTTTATATGTGTATCATTATTCTCATTCGTCCTCTTATTCTCATGTCCCTAAATCAGAGAAATTGATTTAGATGAAAACCAATAGTGTCTCTTATTATTTAATTAGCCGACATAAAAATATATGTTAAGGTGTTTTCGTAGACAGACGCACCTCCAAAGGAAATAAAACTATAATCAGACCGGATGGATGCGCCTGCACTGACTCATATTTGGCTCTGGATGAACTAAAGGAGAAACGTGCTTCTCTCCGTTGAGAAAACTCTCCTTCATTCCGCTGCTCCTTCAAAATGAGGAGTATCTGTCAACTATTCCAAATAGTTTTACAGGTTTACATGCGCCGGCTTGTCTATTAGGTTATGCACCTTTTATAGGTACAGTTCAGGGGGCTCAGCCTCCCCCGGGCGGCCCGAGGTTTATAGAGCAATGGCAATAAATCAGGTTTTAAAAAAGCAGGATAAAGGGGGATTTGAATACAGTAGGCTACATTATGGAGCGGATTAACTGGCCTGGTAAAGTAAACTAGAGGTGAGATGTGGGGAAGCGATTGGAAACGCAAAAAGTTAAACAAATTACTCACTCTCTCGTTATCCCAGTATGATTAAAAGAGTTTCTGTCCGGAACGAAAGTCAAACAGGAGACTTACCTCCAATCAGTTTCCCGTCAGCAGTGAGAAAAATCCCAGCGCTTTTTAAAATTCGCTTCTTTCTCGCCTTCTCTGCCAAACCGGTGACTATTCCCTCCACAGTGAGCGGGCTGCGGGGGATTTTATAGAAAAGGCTGCACGGCACGATCCACCTTCAGCATGACGTTGGTCTGAATATGTTAAAGAGGCTCGTTCATTCACGGACGCGGAGCGGAGAGAGAATTAAAAAAAGGAAAACGTTTGGAGATCAGAGCGGGGGGAGACGCAGCGGTGCGCTTTGATAGAGAGAGACTGCGCGCAGGAGAGAGAGAGAGTGTGTGTGTGGGGGGGGGGGCGATCAGATGCCAGCCGAGAGGGAAACTCGCAGGTAGCCAATCAGCTGGGAGCGGGTTCAGTTTTTCAGGTTGGAGCTCGGCTTCTGCTTCAGTTCGCCGCATCCCGACTGCCTGCAGCCTGCTGTTAGGTTTAGGAGGAGAGAAGTAAGGGAAGAAACAACGCAGGGGAAAAAATATAACACAGAATAGAGTCTAGATTTCAAACCAGCAACTTAACTATTTTTTTATTAATTCATTTTGAATCGAATTAGAAGGAATATTTAAAATATGCTGCAGTCACTAAAGTCTAATACACAGTTTACAAAAGTATTTGTGAAGTTAATATAGATGAGGAAAAGGTTGTTGGGGGTTTTTTTGGAAATAATTCTTTACCGAGACTGAATGAACAAATTCAACAGGTAGAAATAAGTCCTGCACCTTTTTGCCCTCTGCGGCTTCCAGAGAAGAGGAGGGAAATATAGGCTGTTTTCACCCGGAAAAGGCCAGATGCAGATATTATAGGCTACCCAGACTAGTCCAGAGAGGCCTAAGATGTACGCCACAACAGTCAGTCTGTGCGTAATGCTTTTTTATAGTTAATGTTTGTCTTTTTAAATTTCTTGTAAAGAGGCTGTGGTCTCCTCGGGGCAGCGTCTGTCCACCGAACCAACGGCATGATAAAAATGATTGTTTTTTATATTAGGCCTCTGACAAAAAACAAACAAACAAAACAAACAAATCCGGGGAGATTTCTGGCGACTGTGGAGTGATGAAGATACATGGATGCGCGTAAATTCCTGCATATCTTAACAGTTCTTAACAGTGTTGTGTTTGAGGTGACTGCGTTTCAGTTCACAAACAAAACACGTTCATTAGCATTCTTTCGGTTTGACACTTTCAATTTGTTGTGTGCCTTCTCGGGTTAATGAAAGCTGAGATTTGGCCATTAAAGCTGGATCTGCAACAAAAAAAATCGGAGCAATCAGCGCGCCGTGCACACACTTCCAGCTGTTATCTGTGTGTCTTCAAGCTGAGAAACGTTTACATTATTAGACGGGTGTTGATTGGAGAGTTTGTTGGGTGGTTTTTTTTTTTTTTTTTGGCTGCGGCCGGCTTTTCCAAACTGCAGGTGAATAAGCTCCGACCGTGCAGACTGGTGGAAACACGGCTAATTAAAGGGATTTCCGTGCGAATTAATTATGGAGCATAAAAACACATTGATCCCGGGATCTCTTCCGAGTTTTTATAGCAATTATGCTATAAATAAAAATCTGATCACATGTGGCCTCGGTTGTTCTGCTTTAACGCAGCTGGAAACGCTGCAGATGTGTGAAATAAAATCTGTTTTAAAACCGTTTCGGGTGTGGAAAACGACCACAAGACTGTCATTTCGCTTCTTAAACTAACTCCAGATTCTAATAATGCGGCTAGACAAACGTCTGTAAATTATAACATCAGATCCAACCGGTTCTTTAGTCCACATGCTGATATTTTACCAAAATATATTTTTTTTTCTTTGTTTCTTCGTGTTTAAACTTTATAATTAAAATGTTCCATATTATCTTCACAGAGCTGTAAATTTCCAGCTGACATCTAATATATATACACAGTATATGAGCTCTGGGGAATCCCCACCCCGGCACTCCCCAAATACACAAATCACACATCACAACATCAAAATTAATCTTGGAAAAAGGATCTTTCAAGATGTCACACTTTTGAAGAAGAAAGCAGGTTTAATTCACAGATATGCAATGAAGATGGACCACATTAGATGTGAAATTAAAGATAATGAAGATGGTGTTGATGCAACTAAATTGTTGTTGTTGTTGGGCTCAGAAAAGTTTTGTTTTGACCTGGCTTTCTAATGGGCTAATTACCAACGCTGAACTTTGCTCTCTAAAGCTGTGTTTGTTTTTATGTACAGGCAGATATCATAGGTGACATCATTTGAGCTCTGTTTATTTTAAACATTCACAAATTATATTATAATTTTCAGTAGGGCGGCCACTTGTATAGGATGTAAATAATACCTTTATGTAGAACTTAATTAACTAAATTAATCAAAGCATGTGAGAAACCATCTGAAGTTTCACTCAAACTCACTGAAATAAAAGTATTCAACATCTGTTTTAGCTGAAAGGTTCAAGACTTGACATTATAGTTGAAAGTACATTTACTCAAGTACTGTACCTAACTGCAATTTTGAGGTACTTTGTAATCTACTCGAGTGTTTCCATCTTATGCTATTTTATACTTCTACTCTACTACAGTTCAGAGGGAAACAGCCTACTTTTAACTTCACTACATTAATACGATACCTTTAATTTACTTTGCAAAGTCTGATGCAAACTTTAATCAAGAAATTAGTTATGATGTATTATTGATCCCATGGTTTACACAGAAGTATATAATGGGGGAAAAAAATGCTGCACTTTTCCAGCTGCAACATTAAAGTGATGAACACATTATTAATGCATCAGTAATTATAATATAATGATGGGTCATTTTGCATGATGATCGCTTTTGCTGTTGGTTCTTTAAATATATTTTTTAATATATTGTATTTATTACTTTTATACTTTTACTTGAGCAATATTTTAAATGCAGAGTATTTCTACGCTGCGGTATTGAGATCAGAGTATTTATCCCGCCACTGATGGACACAACTGGTAGGGATTTTATTTTTTTAAATAAAGCTAAATGCTGCATGGAGCCTCATCTCGTGTCACAGAAGGAGCAAACAGTTGTGAAGAACGTGAATTTAACCAATGTACTGAAACCTTAAAATTAACAGAAAAACATATCTAATCACCACCTGAACAAAAACAGTTCATGAAAGTATTTAATGATGCCATCATGTAGAACCAAAGCGATGTCAGTTTGATAATAGTTGATAGTAAAACAAGCAGCTCTAGTTTTGTTTATCCTCATCTTATTATTGTTTACCATTTTCCATCTATCTTGCCGCTGTCCTCCTCCTCTCCTGTTGTTTTCAGCCTCTTTTTTTTTTGTTTCCCTCCTGCCCCCCCGCCCCCTCCGTCTCCTTCCCTTTGTGATAAAATTCAGTTCATACTTGTGTCAGAGCGTCCCAGCCTGTCAGCTCCCATCACAGACCGTCTGATCATAAATAACAGCAGCCGGGAGGTTTTCAGACGTGAAGAGTGGCGTGACGTCAGCGCTCTGCTGCAGATCAGGTTGTTCAGGGAATCCCACGAGAGGATCAGTCATGTATTCAAAGAAACTTCTGGCGTGCCGTGATTTTGTTATTCACTTGTATCAGATACGTTAACACTGTGCAAATCAAATATCTGGGATCGACATCACTAAAGATGAGATACTCTGATGAGGGAAGAAACACAAGCAGTCAGAAGATTTATTCCTTCCAGGCAGCCACTGGCTAATTGATAAAATTAAATTTCTTTGAAAATCAACATGCAGATATTTAAAACTTGCTGCAGACATGCAACCTACTTCTTGTTACTGCTTAAAGAAACTCATCATCACTGTTAAAAAAGCACGGCGTTCACAAGGTACCGTGGTAGATAAATCAACTACAACAAATACAAAATAAGTGTTTGTTGCCATTATGGCTGAGTTCCAATTTGTCAATGCAAGTTCTGCAAGTTTAGTTTTGACACCAAGCCAAAATGAAGAGGAAACAAGTCTGGACATCGACACCAATATGATGATTTGGAAAACAGTCTGCAGTGATTTTTTGAAGTTTATGGGCTAAAACAAAAAAATATCTGTAGTTTAAAATGTTTAAAATGTGCTATCTTTTAAGATATAGGATCTGATCTGTTGTTACACATTCTGGAGGCGCACACACACTCACACAAGATACATTTCCTGTCCTGTTGTCCCATCGCACCAAAAGGCTCTGCTCCTGACACTTAAAGGGCCATTCGGCTAATCCTAATCCTAATCCTGAGCTTTTAAAAGCTTCTGTAATGGAGATCTTCCTCCTGCGGTGCCCTGGGCTGCTTCGTCTCAATCTCTGGTTTCAACCTCAGACACTCTGGAGACGATAGCGAATCAGATCTGATTCATTTTACTTCAAAACAGAAACATTAGGGAACAGAAACGATGCCCTCTCGTTGAGCATCTTTGGAACGAAAGTTTACATTACTGAGAGTAAATTTAGAGAGTCGGATGGAGAATTAATCATGATGCAATAATAGGAGGAGGCGCTGTACGTCTGAATGACTGAAATCTATACATTTGATGGATCGCTGGATTTCGGCCATATTTGATGTTATTTATACTTATACCAGCAATCCAAACTTGCACTGTGGAATGACGTTTTTGAGGACAGAATGGTGTGTGTGCAGGCCTGAGGGCTAATGAGTTGATAAATTAAGCCTGAGTTTAACTCTTAGACCCAACTCTTTAGACTCTTAACTGAGGGGGGCATGCCGTACGCTAGAAATCTCAGTTCTGGGCCATTTTAAAACATCTTGATATTCATAATTTGTGCCAGTGGAAGATCGAGTGACACGTTCTGTCTTTGCTTTGTCAGGTTCACTTGTTCTTTGGGAGAACAAATCACAGCTGTGATAGGGGACCCAAATGATGTGATCACAGGCTCCACATACACACATAAAAATGTTATTATTGTAGTAAAACTGTGATTATTAGTCCGGGCTTTTATTTGCTAAAATCCCTGAATTGACCCTGCCTATATTTCCTTTTTACACAAAACTGAAATGAGCTACTGTCAAACAGTTTATTTATTTCAAACAATATGAATATTACTTGTATAAAAAAATATTATACCCAATAATATCAATAGGCTACATGTCATTCATTTGATCTAGCTCCGACAGACTACTTATGTGCTTTTATTTTGAAGGCAGCAACGTAACATAAACAACAACACCATGCAGGATGAGAGAAGTGTGGCAGAAGCAGACAGAGAGCGATGGACT